CCCTGAGCTCTGTATGCCCCATTCAGGGCAAAGTCACCCTAAGAGGCAAAAAAAATAATTAAAAACTGAAAAAGCCCCTGCTTCTTTTCTACCTCCTGATGAGTGCTCCCTGTCCTGTGATCTCTCCCAGGGCAGCAGGGGCTCTGTCTTTGCCAGTGCCAGTTGGCAAATCAGGACCCTGTTGCTTCAATCTGCCAGGGATGATTCCCCACCATAGACCAGCACCTCCTGTGGGTAGTGGTACAGTTTTGCAGCAGCCAGGCAGGAAAGATCCTGGGCCAGGGATCTGTTCTGCCTGTCTTCCCTAGGCTATGAGAGGCTGGTATAAAAGCAATCCAGAGCTCACAGCCTGAAAGGGGAAAGACTGAAGTTCAGAGGAACTTGGGGGTGGACTGGGTAGAAGGATCAGCATCTGTTCTGCTCTCAGAGGCATAATCTCTGCCCTTCTCCTCTGACTGAAGAGATGCACGCAGCTGGTTTCTGCCTCCTCTCTGATATCAAGCAGCTCCCAGTGGCTGCTCAGTGATTGCCAGTCCATCAGCACTTAGAGACCTGGGAAGGACTGAACCTGTGGGTGGAGATGCTCTCCATCTCCAGCCCCTCACCCCCAGATCCCTGCCATGGTAAGTTTCACTTTATGTCCCAGGGGCAGGGGGGATTGATGTTAATTACTTATCAGCACAAGGCCATGCCAACTCCAGGGGAGCCCTGCTTAGCACCTTGCCCTGCTGCTAGAGTGGACCTGTGGCTGCTTGGGGCTTGCAGTGAGTAGACAACCCAGCACCCATGTGGCCCTGCTCATCCTGTCCATGTCAGGTCTGGGCAACCTGACACCAGCTGGTACTTGAGTGCCAGGGAGAAATCATCTTGTGCCAGTGACACAAGTCCTGGGAAAGACCTGGTCTAGGAGATGAGTTTTGTTGGGCCTCAGGTTGCTGCCTGCCACTGTGGCCTTTTCAGGGAAGCCAACCTGGGTAGACAGTCATCAGAGACACTGTTCCAGGCTGTAGTGTGGCAGTGGCTGTAGCTGCTGACTGTGGCTGTGTTGGAGGGAGCCACAGCTTTAGAGTGGGGTATGATCCAGAGTCCACTGCACTGCCAGGAGTCTGTCCTTCCTTGCCAGGCAGCCCTAGGCTGGAAACAGCCTGGACCCCCTGCCTATCTGCTCCCTCAAGTCACAGGGTCCAAATACCAAGCCAGCAAATCTCCAGGCCTCTCTGGGGACTGCTGGCCACCCATATCTCCCTGTAACAGAGAGGTTCACCCTGAGAGGCTCTGCTGTAAATTGGCACCTACCTTCGCCCTGCCACCTGGGTAAAGGGCAGACTAAGCCCTGATGCCCATATGGGATACCCCCGCCCCTGTACACCCTCCCCTCACCCCCTGGACTGTCCTCCCCAACAGGCTAACTCCACTACTTATTGTCAACCCCAGTTGACAATAAGAGGCTATCAGGAAGGACCACTCAGCACTGGACAAAATGGGGACCCATGCCCATATCCAGATACTCCCACAGCTGGGGATGCATATCTTTTGCCACATTATCTCTACCTGAAGGCTCCCACTGCATTGGATCTCACCTAACACAGCTCCCCAGGCAGGTCTCTTGTGTAAGAATCAAACCCACAGCCTTTTCATTTGGAAGTATGGGTTGCTACTACCCTAGTCAAAGGGGTGTTAGCATGGGGAGCCCACAGACACAGGGCAACCATCAGATGGAGCTACAGAGCCACTGGATGCAAATACAGCAAGCGCAGGGCTCTGAGTGGACAGCTCAGCAATAGTCAGCTCCTCAGCTACATTTGCCCTGGCCAGGGGTTGGGGCTTGGCCAGAGCAGCAAGGGAATACAGAGCATGGAATCTTTGGGGTTAGTAGAAGGTCACAAGAGGATACAGTCTTGGTGCTCTCTTTCCATAGGGATGGGGAGGACCAGGTTGGCTTGAACCCATGCTGGATGCTGGGGCTCCCTGAGCAATCAGGACTGGTGCAGCAGTTTCAGGTCAAGGAGAGCTGCTCCCTTCCCTCCCCACCTCCCTCTGAGAGGAGCAAGGTGAGCTGAGAACGCAGGGGAACTTGGGATGTTCTGGACTTAGAGGTGGACTGAGCTGAATACCAGTCCAAAGGAGAGGGGATAAGACAACGGAGGAGGGTCAGGAGAGCCACCTAGTGCTCTCTACTAGCCAGTGGCCACGTTGGGCCTCCTCCCAGCCTGGGAAGGCAGCCTGTCCCAAGGTGGGAACCCCTGGAACTTCCCTCCGGTGACACCAGAGTTGTACTATTGCAGGCACGCACTGAGACCCACACTGAGTGAAGAGGGAGGGAAAGGCGTTGTGCAGAGGGGCAGCGTAACTTGGGGTGGGCAAGCAGGCCACCAGCCATGGGCACTGACTTAGAGGGGGCACAAGTATTGCCCCCTCCTGCAAGGAATCTTTACTACAGCAGGAACAGCCCTGGGTTGAGGGGAGGAGTGACTGGGGCACTAGGAGCAACCCCGGGGAACCTGTGCTACTGCCTGACCCCCAACAGCAGTAGCCACAGCAGCACCAGCTGCTGCCTGAGTGAAGAGTCAAGCAGGTATGACTCCTCTCCTGTTGCCTACTCTCCCCTCTCCCTGCTCTCCACTGGCCAACATAGTTCTCCCCCAGCCCACATCTCTATCCTAGGCACTGAAATACTTCACTATAGCTCTGCAAACAGGAGACTGAGACGTGGAGCTTACCCAGCCAGTGCCAGAGCTAGGAAGAGAGCCTAAGAGTCCTGACACCCTAGATGTACATGCATATGCACCACAGACCCCAAACCCATTGCACACCCACTCTGTCACTGGCCAGAGCTGTCTGGTCCTTAGCCTTAGGCACCCCATCTCCCTGGCCCACCCCAAAACCATAAAATGCAGCTGAGCCCCCATCCAATGAGTCCCTGCTTGTCAGGTCCCCATGGGCTAGGTAACTGGGCTCTCCAGAGACCTCCCACATGCACATCCCCAGCTGCTCACCCAGATCAACTCCCCACGGTGCCAGACTGAGGTAGGCTCTGCCCCGTTAGTTGCTGCCCACCCGCTCAGAGAGCCCAGAGCTGCAAGGAGAAGCAGGCATTGTCTGATGCTATGACCAAAATGCCCTCCTACTTGCTCTGACACAGCTGGGGTCAGGCCTCCCAGTGGGGCTTGGTGTGGGGCAGCAGACACTGCAGCTCCTGGTGTGGAACAAGGAGATGGACAACCAACTGCAAAGGGGATTGGGTTTCCTTCCAAGTGTGCACACAGCAGCAAGGACTGGCTGAGCCACCCAGCTGGGATCTGGCTTGAGGATGTGGTACCTCCAGTGGCCAAAAGTCCCACAGGACCTGCTGGGTTCAGTGCCTTGCCTCTGCCCTGTCCCTACCAACTTAGCTCCCACAGGAGCATAGCTGGTGTGTCTCTGAGAGGAGTGTCTGGCCTCTGTGGGGGCTCCTGAATATCCCTTGGCTTCCATACCTGAGACCCAAGAGAAGGACCCCTTCTCCACATGGGGCTGGGAAGTGCCTCAGGAGTCAAAGGGGTCCAGGTTGGTCTGGATCCTGGGGGCACAGGGCACTCCCTGCTGGCCTGTGAGAGATGATAGCCCAGGGGTGGGCAAAATGCGGCTCGGGGGCCAGTTGCAGCCCACCAGGCCATTTTATCCAGCCTGCGGGGCCCCTAAAAATTTAGAAAATTAATATTTATCTGCCCTGGGCTGCCTGTCATGCGGCCCTCGATGGCTTGCCAAAACTCAGTAAGTGGCTCTCTGCCCAAAATAATTGCCCGCCCCTGTAATGGCCAATGTTACACACTGTGGGGCTGCCATGGGGCCATGGGGAAGGGGGATGATGTGGCTTTCATCTGCCTGCCCACCACCGCAGTCATGTCCCACCACTGCAGCCTTCCTGTTTCCCCATTCCTCAGTCCCTAGATAGCAAGCTCTTTGGGGCAGGGGCTGTCCGTGCAGCACTGATGGGCAGCCCCACCCCTTAGCAATGCAACTCATTGAGCAAGTGTTCATTCAGGAGCTGGGTGCATGACTTCCCTCCATTTCCTACTGCAAGGGCTAACTGGATCCCTTTGGGGCTGCTCATCTACTAGGCACCAGAGTATGAAGAGGGAATTTGCCTGTTGGAGGATCCTGCAATGTGAAAATCAATGATCAATGCCAAGAACTGCCAGCTGCAGAGAGCTGGAGTCACCCTGGAGCTGAGAGTCCTCTGTCAAGGCAGAACCAAGCCTCCGGCTAGCAGGGAGTTAAAAGTAGGAGTGCAGTTACTGGTTATCATCACAGAGGGAGTCTGGACCCATGATGTATTCACTCTGGTGTGAATCCACATTTACACCAGTTTAAGTAAGGAATAGATATGAGAGGAATAGTGATGTAAGCTATTAGAGTCTGGTATAGAGTTGTCCCAGGAGAAATCAGGCAGTAAAACTTCACTGTTGTGGGTCACACTAATGTACAGGGAGGGCATCTGCATTATCTCAGGGTAGCCATTTGCTTGATGCAATCAGGTGAAGACCTCCTCCCTGCCATCTAGTGGAAAGGGACAGCGATAGAAGCCTACGGCAGCAGCTACCCACCTGTCTGCTCCAGATCCCGGTATCATTCACATTGCTATAAAAATGTGAGGTACGCTAGAATTAACATGTCGCGTGTTCAGGCCTAAAAGCACCTAGACAGCAGAGAAACTGTAACCTTCTACAAAAATGATAGAGAAATAGGTATATGTGTAAGGGGATATCCATGGTCTCCTCATCAGTTGGTTGTAGAGGTGGGAACAGAACCCAGGTATCCTGAGTGCCAGCCTATTAGGCCATGCTGCCTCTGAAGCAGCTGGGGCTGGTGCTTCTCGGGTTCCCCTGGGTGACAGACAGGTGTCATCACCCTGAGTTCCTCCCACTGCCTCTTTTCTTTACAGTCAGTCTCCAGGCCACTGGGAAGGGAGGATGAAGCCACTGGATGCCTCATCCTACCAGAGCACCAAGAAGACTTACAGGATGCCAGAGGTCTGGCGGACAGCCTTCCTCATCTGCACAGCAGCAGTGGGCTGGCCGGCCAACAGTTTCATTGTGTGACTGACAGGGTGGCACCAGCAGCACTGGGGTTCATACATGGACATCCTGAGCCTGGCCAGTTCCGACTTCCTCTTCCTTGGTGTCTCCACGCTGCAGAAACAGTTGGTGATGCAAAGCCACATGCCATCTGCTGCAGTACCTGTAGTGTGGGCTCTGACTGCAGCCTCCTCATATCAGTGCTTGCAGCTTTAATGAGCGCTTGCTGGTGCTGCTGTGAGTCTGGTACTACTGCAACTACCTCGGGTGGCTGCCCCGCTCCAACTGCCTGGGTGCGGAGCATCTGCCTGCTCTACTTCCTCTTCAGCTCAGATGCCTGCACAGCCCTGAGGCACTGCACAGCAGCCTCGCTCTTCACCACCCCCATAGCGGATGCAGGGAAGAACCAAAGCACTTCCCTTACAGCTGCCTCCTTAGCCCTGCCCTGCCCATGAGTCCAGTCCCCCCTCCCTACCTCAGCACTAGCAAAGACTGGGTCTCAACCCCACTCACAGCCTAGTAGGTACTGACGTGCCCAACTGAGGCTATGCTGTTGTGTCAGTAGATGAGAGGCAGAACTCGCAGGGGGTCAGCCAGCTCCACAAAGTCCCCTGGGAGGTCACAATAGTGAGACACCCAGTTTTACAGCAGGAGATGAAGACCCTTTCCTGCACCAGTGCAAAACCCCAGCCAGTGCAGCTCATCTGTCTAGACTGGGGCCAACCTCCCCAGCCCTGGCAACACCTCAGATCCAGGCCAGGTCCTCCCTGGGTGCAAAGCAAACTTAGCTTGGTGGAGGTGGGCACCATTTCCACCCTCACACTAGGAAAGGAAAGACTGGGCTTAGTGCTGCCACTGCTGCTACCCCACCCCAGCATTAGGCAAGGGCAAGCCTAGAGGACTCTGTGCTTTTGCTGGGCAGCCTCAGTCTCATGTGGGGAGAGAGGTCACTGTGTGTATGCAAGATGCGGTACATTAAGACGATGGCTCTTGAGAGCCAGACCTGGAGCAGGTGAAGGGCAGCTGAGATCCCCACAGCAGAAGGGACATAGACAACCTCAACTCTTCCCACCAGGGGCATCTGCTGCCTGGATTTGCAACTGTGCCCATGCAGAAAGGCCCATCCTGATCCAGCACTGCACAGATGTTGGGAGGTGCAGCCCCATCTCTGGGAGCCAGGGAGGCAGATGCTGCCCTATAACCACTTGGATACGGGGGTCAGAGGGGACCTCCCAGGGATGGGAGAAGATGGCAGAGTTTGAGAGGAGGTGATGCTTCCCTTCTATGCGGCATTGGTTAGGCCGCAGCTGGAGTACTGCGCCCAATTTTGTGTGCTGCACTTCGGGAGGGATGTGAGGGTTGCCAAAATATGGAATAAGCTTCCAAGGGAGGTGGTGCTGTCCCCTTTCTTGGAGGTGTTTAAAATGAGATTGGACAGACACCTGGCTGGGGTCATCTGACCCCAGCACTCATTTCTGCCCAGAGCAGGGGGTCAGACTCGATGATCTAATAGGTCCTTTCTGACCCTAACATCTATGAAACTACGAGATGCTCCAAACAGGCCCCAACATATACCCCAATCTCCCTGTTCACACTGACTAGGAAGGTGGGATGTGCCCGCATGTCTGGAAGAAACCGTTTTTCTCCAGCCAATATCCCACCCTCAGGGTGTCCCCAGGGCTGCAGTAGCTTGCACACATGGTGGCGCTCCCAGCTGGCAGAGGACAGCGGGTGCAATGAGAAGCTGGGCGCTGCCATGCAAGGGATGCCATCCAGATTTTTTTTTCTTTAAAGAAATGTTTCATGTTCCCAGCCAAATGAAGTCCCAATCCATGAGTCAGTCCAGAACCATCAGCGGCCCTACAACCAGCAAACATCCTCCACCCCCACCAGGGCGTTCAGATGTTTCCGAGGTCTTTTGGCAGGCATCCTATATGCAGGCCCAAGCATATGCAGGCTTGGGGTTCAGATGACACCAAGTTTCACCTGCCCTCAGCCATGTGGCCACAGGAGCGAGCTAGGGAGGAGCCTCTCATTCCCATCAAGTGGGCTTTAAGCCCCAACACCTGGGCGGGTGAACTAAACCGTGCCAGAAGAGTAGTTATCCCTCAGGTGCTTACAGAAAGCTGCCTTCATGAGCCCAGATTTTTTTGTGTTATTTGTATCCCAGGCCAAATGAGCCAAAACTAATTCCAAATCCAAGAGCCCAGCGACATAAGCAGCCCTACTGCCGGCAGACATCCTCCACCTGCACCAGGGGCTTCAGATGTTTCCAGATCCTTTGGCGGGGGTCCTACGTGCAGGCCCAAGCCCGGCGGCTCGGGGGTCGGGATGCCCCCCAGTTTCGCCTGCGAAGCGGCTGGGGACAAGCGCCCGGG